GGTCGTGGTACCACCCCGGTTCGAGCCGGCCCATCCGTGCGACAGCAAAAGCTGCCGCGTGGCTCTACCACTGTGAGAGCGTGGTCCTTCCCCGGTCGAGCCGACCCATTCGTGCTACAACTATACTATTAATATAGCTGCAGCATGGCTCTACCACGTAAAACTTCAATTTTAATATAATTTATTGTTGATTTTTTTAAAAAGAAATTTAAACGGGACCACCTGGGAAGTATAACATTTGAAATAAAAAAGTAATTTCCAAATCGGTTCAGGCGTCTTCGAGTAATCGGTGAACATACATAAAAAAAAGATTCCGAAGAATTGGGAATCTCCTCCTTTTTTGAAGTCTTTTGAAAATTAAAAACTTTGTGCGACCGACTTCAATATAAATAAAATGAGAACATCATCAACGTAGACGTAGTCAATTAAATACGAATTATTAAGGATAACTCAAAAACCTCTAGTCAGCTCTTGACCAAATTTATATGGAACCACATCTGAAGCACCAGCTTTCAAATAAAAAATCATCAAAATCGCTTCACCTAGAAAAAAAAACCACAAGGAAAGCATCAGCTTTCAAATGATAAAAAATCGAAATCGGTTCACTCAGAAAAAAGTTATGACGTAGCACACATAAAAAAACATGCAGTCGAATTGAGAACCTCCTCCTTTTTTGCAGTCGGTTGAAAAGCATCTTCGGTTCTCTACACTCACCATACGAAACACAGCATTATGCTGCTGTTTCACGCTGGTATTCTGTGAGAGCGTGTTCCTACCCAGGTCTACCCGATCCATTTATGCTGAAGTCATAATATCTACAGCATGGCGCTATTACGTAAAGAGTAAGACAAATTACGTGGTAGAGCCATGCTGCAGCTATATTAATAGTATATTTGTAGCACGAATGGATCGTCTCGACCGGGGAATGACCACGCTCGCACAGAATACCAGCGTAAAATAGCAGCTTACTGCTGCTGTGTTTCGTATGGTGTGTGTAGAGAACCGGAGGCCATTTTTACTGAAAACGAGGTGTTCGGGAGCGTCCACTCAGGAAATGTAATCTGAAAAGTGAAGATCTGTACTATCACCAAGACCTTGTCCAGTTGTATAAATTGTTCGTTCCTGTTAATTCATTTCTTTGTTTATAAAAAAGTTAAAGTTACAGCCTATATACGTCCCACTGCTGGGCACAGGCCTCCTCTCATCTCTGAGTTGGTTTTAGAGCAAGGAAGTGTCCGCCGCGCTGCCCCGATGCGTATTGGTAATTTTGCATGTCTTCGAAATATTTTTTCTTATTTCTCAGACATGCGGGTTTCCTCACGATGTTTCCATTCACCGCCGAGCGCGTGGTAAGTCAACACTTAAAATTGCAATTAACAATTTCATTGGTGCCGGTGGGGATCGAACCAGGGTTGCTCGCGTACTGTGAAATTTACAGCGACCGCTAACCAACTGAGCTGCCACGGCTCAATTTATTTGTTTATACTTTATTGTAATCACCTTGTGTCTTACAATTTATCTTCATCTTTATACAATTACGTTAATTCTCTCTCTTCTTTCCTTCAACTTTCAATGTAACAGGCTCGAAAATCTTAGCATTTCATCGATCAATACAATATTATAATATTGACAAAGCACAACAATGTATATGATAACGAACTTACGGTTGACATCATCGCCTACTATGGCTTCAATATAATATGTATATGTAATATATGTACATATGTAGTAACATTTAATCAACTCGTATATCACGCACACACGTTTGTATATATTCAACATTTGACTTGTGTGCGTAAATGCAACGGAGATGGCCGATATGTGAAAAGCATACACTGGTTACAGTCGACCAAAAAGTTTTTATACCGTATGTCAACACAGCACGCCAACTTAACCTTTAAATGTAGGGAAGAAGGTTCTATTTGTGTGCCTTTTTATAAAAAGTACGTTGTGCCTACGCTGACCACTCTTAATGTAGAGTGGACCGCGGACGTTTGTGGTATAACGTATTCGGATAATTTTGATACTTGCAAACTATTAAATTGAAATATAAAATTTATTAATTATACATAATATTTTAAAAATATACAATATCAAAAAAAAAAGAAACAAAAACATATAATTTAATTTTCATACGGTCCTACTCGCCGTATTATCGTGCCAAGAACGCTGGCTGCGTTTCCCCGCTGAATGGCTGTACTTAGCCTTTGAGCGAGACAAGAACCAGCCCTTTTATCACCAGTAGCGATGACTAGTCGCTAGTTCCTTTAGGAACTTCGCCGCACGTGGACACCACGGACCGATAGTCTCTACAACAAACGTGACAAATATGTAGTTATCTCTCAGAGACTCATATTTGCAACACTCATTTAGTTCAGTTGCCTCTGATGCCGCCCCGGCTCTAAATTATTATTTTTTTCCTTCTAGATCAGCCCTAAAAGTCCACTGCTGGATATGGGCCTGTCCCGTTGTCTCGACAAGCAGATTGGTGACCCCAGTATCAGGCACCTCAAATCTTTGACGTTGCTACCCTTGGTATGCCTGGAGTAAACGACATGGTTTATTATATTTTCTTATTATTTTTATTATTATAACGTTATAGTGAACGTAGAACTTAACATTATAAATACAGTGGATTTCATTTATTACGACCTTGGTTGTAGCGACCATTTACGTATCATCATCATCATTACAGCCCTTCACAAGTCCACTGCTGAACATAGGCCTCCCCCAAAGAATGCCACAAAGCACGGTCCTGAGCCACCTGCATCCATCGACTTCCTGCATATCTTACCAGGTCGTCACTCCATCTAGTGGGGGGACGCCCTACACTTCGCCTGCCGATACGAGGCTGCCACTCGAGAACCTTTCTTCCCCATCGTTTGTCGGTTCTTCGAGCTATATGGCTGGCCCATTGCCACTTCAGCTTACTAATCCGTTGGGCTATGTCGGTCACTCTGGTTCTACTGCGGATATCCTCATTTCTGAGTTTATCACGCAAAGAAACTCCGAGCATAGCCCTCTCCATAGCTCGCTGAGCGACCTTGAGCTTCCTCATCCAGCCAGCAGTGAAGGACCACGTCTCAGTTCCGTATGTCATCACTGGCAACATGCACTGGGTGTACAGTCTTTTTTTCAAGTTTTGAGGTATACCTGACGAGAAGATGTGCCGTAATTTCCCGAAGGCTGCCCAACCGAGTTGAATCCGTCGATTGACCTCTCGGTCGAAGTTGGACTTACCTAGTCGGACTATTTTTCCCAGGTAAATATACTCGTCAACAACTTCGAGCTTAGTGTTCCCAACAACTACCGGCATAGGTGTGACATGGACATTAAACATGATCTTTGTTTTGTCCATGTTCATCTTAAGACCTATCCGTTGGGAAACACTATTGAGGTCATTGAGCATAGTGCTTAGGTCCAATGCAGCGGTGAAGAGTTTCGGGGATATCACGTCACCCTGTCTTACACCTCTCTGCAATTGGATAGGTTTCGTATTCTGGTTGTGTACTCGGATAGCCATCGTTACCATCGTAGCCCTACTGTAAAAGCACTTCAGCACTTCGATATACTGACAGTCAACCTGGCATCGCTGAAGGGACTGCAGCACCGCCCAAATTTCGACGGAATCAAAGTCTTTCTCATAGTCCACATACGCCAGACATAGTGGCAAATTGTACTCCTCGGACTTCTGTACAATTTGCCGAAGGGTATATATGTGGTCTATGGTGTTAAAGTCTTTTCGGAAACCGGCTTGTTCGGGAGGCTGAAAGTCGTCAAGTCTGCGCGCGAGACGATTCGTAATGACTCTCGAAAACAGCACGTAGACGCGGCTCAGAAAGGAAATCGGTCTGTAGTTCTTCAAGAGAGCGTTGTCACCTTTCTTGAAGAATAAGACCACCGTACTTCTGCTCCGGTGTAGTACCACCATGGAGGATGGAATTAAAGAGCTTCTGAAGGACTTCAAGTACCGGTTTTCCACCTGCTTTCAGAAGCTCCGCTGTGATTCCATCCTCGCCTGGGGCCTTGCCGTTTTTAAGGTGCTGGAGAGCCATTCTAATCTCGCTCAGACTGACGTCCGGGATATCATCGGAATAATGTCGGATAAGACTCGCTCTTGGATCGTTACTCACACTTACGTGTGGCTCCTATAGAACCTCTCAATCTCATTCAAAATCTCAGGTGTCCCGGAAACGACGCTGCCACACTCGGTCTTCAGCTTCGACAGTTGGCTCTTTCTGGCAGACAGATCTCTAGCAAAGACTTTGGAGCCCTGGTTCTGCTCGATCGCTTCTTTAATACGAGCAGTATTAAAGTTTTACGCAACTTGAGAGATCTGTCTGTTCAGTTGCCTGTGTGCTGTCAAATCTACTGAAGACTGCAGCTTCATATCCCGTCTAACAGCCATGAGATTACGAGTGTGATCGGAGAGTTTTTGTGTTCTTCTACGGCAGGTCTTGCAAAACCGACCGCATGGACAGTTTCCACTAGCTTGTCATTCATATCGTCCACTGCATTGCAATCTTCTAGGCACTGAAAACGGTTTTGTAGCTCGAGCTGAAAGGTTTCGGGACTTTGGATTAGACGTGACGTTGACTTCATTAGACGTGACCTCTCCAACTTAACGTTTAGGTTCAGTGTGCCTCTCACCATTCGGTGATCGCTGCCGGTCTTCACCCTCGCAATCACTGAGACATCACTGAACAGTTGTCGTCTGGTCGTCATAATGGAGTCAATGTCATTTTTTGTGGAACCGTCGTGGCTCGACCAGGTCCACTTCCTGTGGGGCCGCTTCTGGAAGAAAGAGTTCATTATAAAGAGTCCCTCTTTCTCCATGAAGTCAGCCAGCGTTGCGTTGCCCTGTTCCGAAATTCCCTACTTTCAGCTCACCGTTCTCTCTTGTGCCTAGTTTTGCGTTGATGTCTCCCATTAACACCGTATAGTGGGTTTTGGAGGAATGCATGGCTCTAGAGATATCCTCATATATTTCCTCCACCTCCTCATCGGGGTATACCGAGATGGGTGCGTAAACCTGTATGACCTTCAGCGAATACCGTTTGGTGTTTCTGAGTATAACGTACGCAACCCTCGTCGACACACTCCCAATCTCTACAAAGTTGTTAACGAGAGACTTGTGGACGATAAATCCGACACCTCCTTGGGAGAGATGGTCGCCCTCCCGGTGATAGAACAAATTGCCGGATTCGAGGATAACCGTGTCCTCCCCCTCTCTTCGGACTTCGGATAATCCTATGACATTCCAGCGCAACTTGTCTATCTCTTCTTCCAGCTCCAGGATCTTCTCGTCAGTCCTCAGGGTGCGTGCGCTATAAGTTGCCAGGTCGAGTCGTCGTAGGTGGCAACCGAACCTCCACCGGAGATTCTTAGCACCTCCTGCCCTGCCGTTACCATGGTCGCCACCGTAGCCAGGAATAGCGGGGCCGCCGGGGACTGGGGGCCGTCTCTTCGTTACTTTCATGGGGGGTATATTGCCATAGTTGTCACACTTGGCGAGCGGGTTGGCAACCGCAGATTTTTATTGTTGTTTTGCTTTTATCAGAAAGATGCTGCTGCCCATCCTTTGCCTCAGTATCCCTCTGTCGCCTTTTACGACACCCACGGGAAGATATGGGGTAGTGAGTATTCTTACCCGCCACTACACGGTGTATAACCTATTTAATAAAAAATAATTATTAAAATTCGTTTTAAATTGACGAAGATATCGCCTATACATATATTACAAAGTATATATATTCAAAAGTGCATTACATATCATACATACATAATATACATACATTCATACATTCAAAATTCAAAAGTGCATTCAAAAGTGCTGCAGTCAAATTGGGAACCTCTTCCTTTTTGAAGAGGGATAAAAAAAATATTTCAGTGTTAAAGTATCAAGGCATTTTTGTCTGCAGCTCTAGTTACCAGTACTGAACATTGCGTGAATACTCTTCCCGGCTCATAGATGCACGCATATGTAAATAATTCTACAGTCGACCACAAAGAACCGTACGAACATAAGTATATGTTTAAAACCATCCTTCTATGTATTATAATAAAGGCGACTATTGTATAGGCTTTGTGGCTGTAATACAGTATATGCGGTGGACAGTATACTAGGCTGAGCTAAATTGATATTTTACTTACGTAAGCGATACTAGAATTGGGTGCTACGAGAGCGAGTTTTGAACGTTATTTTTTGTTCAGTATACATTATGTATGTTACGGTGTACTGACGTCTGAGAAAAACCATTATCTCATCTCATTTCGTATTTGTCTCGTAGTTTCTAACGGCATGCGATAGATGGCGCCATAACCTTTCCCTATACGAGGGTGACACTGTAAGTTCTTAGAAAATCAAAAACTGAACAAAGTAGCAAGTTATTAGTTTTATTATATCTTTATATACGGGCCTCTTCGTGAAAGGCCAATCGAAGTCTATCATAACTTACTTGATGACTTTAATGACATCGAAAATCATAATCATCAAAACTTTCTCGCGTTAAATTCATACCAAAGACATTTAAGTAGTGTATACCTATATATTTAAATCTCTTTGATTCATGCTGACGTGACACAATTTTCAATTTGCCACCAAATCGTAAACAATGACAAATTAATAAAATACATACACAATAATATTGGCAAAGAGTTCCATTTAAAAAATTTGAATTTTTTTTTATATCGTTTACAAGTGGCCAGTTCTAAAAACTTTCAGCGTCATCCTCGTATGCCTTGTGTTAAATACTAAATAGATCAGCGACAAGAAGCAGCGTCAGATGTGGCAGACATTCAGAACACATGTTTCGATCCATCACTCGGGTGGACCTGAGGATGCCTCGTGTAGAGGCGAAACACGTGTCGTATTTTCGAGAGTGGTGTGTCGTGCTCGTGCCTAGTGTGGTGGTGCTGGGGATAGTAGTGCTGGGATTGACGGTGACGGGTATAGTGCGCGATTTTGAGGGAGGGTGGGAGGTCCCCTTAAAACTGGGCAGGACACATCATTTTACTTCTTTACGCGGAATTAAGCAAATTAGTTTATAACATACCTATTATAATGGATTTCCGCAAAGTAACGCCTGATTCTATTAATTAACTTTTTAATTGGAAAATAAAATACTTTTGCTGTTAGGTAATATATTTTTTATAGAAAAAAGGTTACAAACGAGCACACAAGCCACTTGCTGGTAAGCGGATGCTGTGGCCCATATACATCTACATTTATCTTCGAATAACAATCAAAATGCAGATGCGTCGTCACCCGTGAGGAATAAGATGGAATGCCTCGTTTCCAGTAAAAAGGGTCTCCGGTTCTCTACACTCACCATACGAAACACAGCAGCGTTAAGCTGCCATTTTACGCTGGTATTCTGTGAGAGCGTGGTCCTTCCCCGGTCGAGCCGACCCATTCGTGCCACAACTATACTACTAATATAGCTGCAGCATGGCTCTACCACGTTTAAATACTACTCTACCACGTATATCAAATAGGGATAGTTTCTGGGCCGGAGAGTGACAAAGGTTACTTTTTTCCCAGAAATATCCACGACTCCTGTGAAATCAATTTATGATCTCGTTTTCCGACCTCCACACGGGAGTAGCCGCAGGTAAAAGCTGGTGTGTTAAATTGCTACAGTGATCGTTGTAATTTAAATCGTATTTGGAACGAGCTATTTTTTAGAATTTTCTAGATTTTAGTTGTAGATATAATTCAAAAGTTGGGAAACATTGCAGGTTTTTTTTAAACAATGGTAACGTAAAAACATGGCCAGAAAATTACATCTCAGGTTTGGGTTTTTCTAACAATCTTACATATATTATTATTGATTTTGCAAGGTAACTTCTCAACTGCCAATATGAATAATAAAAGATATGGCGTTGAAAAAAATTATAAAGATTAATCTACCACGGGGAGTGCTCTGAGGAATTGTTCGGATTAATTCCAGCCGCCAAATTTCACGAATGCACATCGCGTCAAAACTCACGATACCATCCTCACCATCCAGATGCTTGGCGGTCCACGACTGTACGTTTTACTAGGAGTTTTCTTCCTCGTACAACTTCTCTGTGGAATTGTTTACCACCGGCGATTTTTTCCAACCGATACGACTTAGGGAGCTTCAAGAAAAGAGCTTACACCTTTCTAAAAGGCCGGCAACACATCTGCAATTCCCCTGGTGTTGCGGTTGTTCATGGCGGCGGTAGTCACTTACCATCAGGTGAGCCGCATGCTCGTTTGCCCCCTCTTTTATAAAAAAATAAATAAATTCTAATTTTGAAATTGTCTTCCAATGTGACAGTCGCCATAACTGGCAAATTGCTACTACAGCAGATAGGCACTGCATCTAACTTAACCGTTGCTATTCCTGATGATTCAAGTGGAATACCCCACGGTCTTTTTTCATGCTGTCTCTTTTACTACCCTTCCAACTGGAACAGAATATTGCTAACTAAAGCCAGAACAGCTAAGCGAACTCTACTATCTAGTTCTAATACATAAAATTTCATTCCAAAACCGTAATAGTTAATAGTAAGGTACGTGCGGGTAATATGGTTACCATAAGCTTTGCCGCTTTATAAAACCAAAACTAGGAAGAGGACAGAGACAAAAACACAAAGTCGTATACTATAACTAATATATTAAGAAAAAAATTGCAAACAAGCTTTGACAATAATTAGGAACACTTCGAAAAATTAACTTAAAAAACATTTACTACACTACGCAATACCAAAATCGACTAAAATATTTACTAGTAGCTATGCCCCGCGGTTTCACTCGCGTCATCACGTGTCAGAGGTGCGCGACATGACCTAGTTCAAGCATTTTATAATTGCAATTAAATATTTTTTATTTGATAGCAATGGATGGAAAAAATGGCATAACTAATGGAGTACTTTTATCTGTCGGCATATTATGTATGATGTAGAGCGAAGTTAAGTTTTATCCACTTTCCCTCCCCCTCCCGATTGAGCAGTTCTCGCAGTTCTCACCGGGCGGCTAGGGTTTATGTGTCGTTCGCGCGCCCTGCCAAGTATTGAATGATTTTAATCTTACATTAATACATAAATTAAGGCTAGCTGAATCAAATCGGACTGGTAGTTGCAGAAATTAGCGCGTTTAAACAAACAAAAAAACAAAAAAAACTCTTCCGCTGTATAGATAATGTCGACTGTCAAATTGGTTTCGATAAAGCAGCGCCCTTTTGACCTTTTATTATTTCATTGACTGATGAAGAGCTATCGTATCATAGAGCCATCTATGCAAACAAGGCAGTAGTTTTTGAGTTATAACAAAGTGACCATACTAACCGGATGACCATATAACTCTCACGTACTTATTGTACTCTATATTAACCATACTAACTTACTTACTAGCTTCTTAGTACATTTTTTTAAATTGTATTGCAAAGCATATTTATTCGAGGTTCAGCATTACATTAGTACAAACAATTATTAAAAAAATAATATAATATAATACAGAATAGAGAAGAGTAAGGTATAAAGAAAACATTTAATAATAATAATGTTCTCCAGGTCCAGACTAATTTCGGACATGGCTGCCGGTCTATACGAAGACTAGCGCAGGACAGGATTATAGTGCCCAAGTGTACGCGCAAGCACAGGTGCACTCTCTACTCCCTCACTCTCATAGTCCGATGGGACGGTAAACCGACACGATCGGAGAGAGATCAGGCGCAGGACCAACGGCGTTACGTCCTTTCCGAGGCACGGGGGTGAGATACCTCCAACTTCTTGACTGGGCAGCTACTGAGAATTACTTACACAAAATAAACGATTTTGGCCCGACCCGGGATTCGAACCCGGGACCTCGTGTTTAACAATCGCGTTTACGACCACCGACGAAGCAGTCAGAGAATATGTACTACGTATGTAGGTTTATTTTAATTAAATTATTTATTTAGTGGTACAATACAACTCAATAATTGATCTTATATAATTTAAAATTAAAAATATTGTACGACCAACTTCTATATAAATTATTAATAATAACTCAAAAACTATTGGTCAGACCTTGATCAAATGTATATGGGACCACATGAGAAGCACCAGCTTTTAAATGAAAAAAGAATCATCGAAATCGGTTCGCCCAGAAAAAAGTTATGAGGTAACACACATTAAAAAACATACAGTCGAATTGAGTACCGTCTCCTTTTTGAAGTCGATAGAAAATATGTATAAATTAAAAAAAAACTGATTGTCAGTCCGGCCCACACCTCGGGCAGCTCCGACGTCTGTCAGCGAGTACATATTCGATGTTTACTAAAGCACGGCCCTGGACCACCTGCATCCGGCCCATCCGGCATGCCTTACAGACCGTCACTACATCTAGCCGGACACGAATGACCTCCACTGCACTTACACGTACAGTATGAAACACATTCATGAAGAAACCTTTTTTTAACCTTCGGCTGCCGGTGTTGGAGCTGTGACTGACCAATAGACACTTCAACT